TCATTAGCGAACACTGAACTACTGCTCGTACTGTAAATATGAAAATCAACCACAATATTCCCCAAACCAGATAATACTAAACATATTCCAAAAAATACTGTAATTCTTTTGTTCAATTCGCGAGTTTGCTCACAGAGCACTTTGATTATTTCAAGATTGCGTTTAGCACATGAACGTGCCTTTTCGAAATTTTAGGAGCCTGCATTGTATAGTTGAAGAACTTCAGCATGTTGCTGGTCTGTTATATCAGGAGTACCCGTTGGATCCGCTCCGCAAAATATCCGCTCTGCAGACCAAAGTTGAACTGGCTGGGAATCGTAGGAATAAACAGAATCTTGCTGAGAATTTAGCTTATAAAGAGCTAGCTAGCTAGAAAAATTTTTTGGTGTACAAATTGCTTACATTGTGGTTTTACAAATCAGTTCTGGCTGGAAATTACGTTCCGGATGCGATCACTGTGAAATGACTGAAGTGTGTCATTCGACACTCTCTGACTGCTTGACCCTTTGTTTGAAAACATGCTTACAATATAATGTTAGTTGTTTATCAAAATTTTATTTACCAGCAAACAATAGAGGTCTGTTCTGTTGTCATTGATAGAGTGAAATTAGATCAGTTTCTTTTCCCTTGACGCTCCCTTTTCCCACGTTCAGTTGTATGTTAAACCACCGTTGATCCCGTCGCGGAAAATCATCGTCTGTTCTGCTTTCATGTCACCTAGTACCTAGATACAACCGGTTATCTGGTAATGATGTTTTTTGGTTCGTGCAGTCTTTCCACATTTTGCTCTTTCTTGCCAGATGCCCGGTAAGACTCCGGTAACCTCATAATATTTTGTAACTTAGACATTGTTCCCGTATAATTTTGTGTTCAACGGTCGGTTAAAGCGCGGTCAGGATTCGCCGACCAGTTGTTTGAGGGTTTGGCTGCCAGAGAACTCTCAGGACTCCAATGATAAATTCAAAGGTTCAGGTAAGAACTACTTTGGAGTTGAACTAGCTAAATCAGTCTATATATTTAATATTGATCATGTTAAGCAACGTGTGCGGGAAAAGCCGGCGCAGTTTTTCAAACTGTATTCGCCACTGTATTGTATTTCAAACCCTACGGAAAGTGCAGCTTCAGTGAAAAGCAAGACCAGAAAAGGCCTAATATGTCTCCGAACTTGGAAGGGTTTTCGAAGTTGCCAGTCCATTCATCCACAGTGATCTTACTTCCAAGTGTAATTTTAATTCTGTAACTTTAACGGCCAGTAAATCCGATCCCGGTACTGCAGTCGATGATGACCGCTTTTTAACGCGTCGAACATGAGCTATTAGGGAGCTTAAGCAAACCACGACGACGACGGCAACGAGAGTGTCACTAAACAAAAGGTTTAATGAGCAAAACAATAGCTGTGCACGTGCGTTATAAATTTTTGTACATTTCTTTGTCGTCCTCTGCAAAACAACAACGTGAAATGATCAAGTTCTGCGTCGTCTACGAAACGTGGACGACGACGGCTAGTTTTTCACATTTTCATCTGGAACTGTATGCCGTCGTTGCATATTTAATCTGAGCAAGTTTTTACAGCCATTGGCGTACTGAACAGATCTACACATTCGCGAATTTTGCTTGTAAAATATGAATTCATTTTTTACTAGGCGTCGTCCTCGGCGTCGTCGTCGTCGTTGCTTAAGCTCCCTATTGAAACACATTTGCCGCGTCTTGGACAAATCGAGATATTGAAATGATTATTTTTTCCCGGTGCAAGAAAGTGTTGTTTCCATCGGTTTCTTTACTGAAGTCCGATCGAGTTCTTTATATAACTGAAGGCTGATTACTTATTGCTGCCTTTTGGTATCGCCGAAGCTTTGGCCTGAAAGGTTGACCAACACACCTAATTGATCTAGTTCCATGCTAATTGTACTGTACTTTGGGATTTAAATGTCAAAGGTCAGAAAAGACCAGAAGGCAGTCATGTCATCCCAGATTTCGTTCTTTCGGTGTCGATAGCGCCAGGACAATAATATGTAATTTAATTTCTTATGCGTTTCCATTTCTTAACGCGCGTGTTTTTCGCACATTCAGTTTCTGTCAGAGAGCAAGTTATTTTGATGCCTCCGTTGTTAGCGGAAATGGAGACATTTCGCCTTGTTGTCCTTCTTTTTATGATGGCATGGACAGTGTTTATATCGTGGAACAATTATCGCGCGGTTCAGTTCATGTAGCTAAGGCAAAGCGCGAAACATGGCACACGAAAAAAGAGCCGTGGCACCAGTTCACACCATTCACTGAAATCACGCTTCTGGGTTATAGTTTGATGGCGAAATGAGCGGTGAAAAATCATTCCGCGATTATTGCTTTCTTAAACAGTTAAATCCTCGCTTCATTTGACTTGCCCCAGGGAATGTAATTTTCAGCAATGTAATATCAGTTAAAATCTAAGACATTTCATTGAATACTCTCATGAATGAGTTACTTTTGTGAACATAGTTCTTTATCTAGAGCTTACATTCAGGGGCTCCAATGGTATCACCAGTTTTGTATATTATCGTGTGTCCGTGGCTGTATGCGTATTTGGATGCATGTGTGTGTGTGTGTGTGTGTGTGTGTGTGTTTGTGCAGGGGGAGGAGGACGCCGGTATAAGAGGGATTGTGCAGTATGTTACATTTTCTATAGACGTATCATTTTGCAGGTGCAAAATTGATTGCGTGAACTATAAGAAGCATAGCTGAAGATGCTGCAAATGTTACCCGATATCATGGACTGGTACCCAAGAGGAGATGAGCAAATTTGTTGATGAAACCACGAGATTAAGTTTGTGAATGTCTTTATGCTGATCGTCCAGTATATACTTATGACATTACATTGATCTGATTGATACATGTTGTTAACGAATCTCTAGACGTAATGATGCTTTGACATCCCCGCGGTGGGTCTTCGCTGCGAAACTTTGCACTTAACTGTGTGAAACTTTTACGGTAAACGGCCTATAACATCCCAACAATGCCGGGGTCTTTGCTGCGAAACTTTGCACTCAACTGTGTGAAACTCTTACGGTGAACGGCCTTTAACATCCCAACAATGCCGGGGTCTTTGCTGCGAAACGTTGCACTTAACTGTGTGAAACTCTTACGGTGAACGGCCTCTAACATCCCAACAATGCCGGGGTCTTTGCTGCGAAACTTTGCACTTAACTGTGTGAAACGTTTGCGGTGAACGGCCTATAACATCCCAACAACACCGGGGTCTTTGCTGCGAAACTTTGCACTTAACTGTGCGAAACTTTTACGGTGAACGGCCTTTCACACCCCCACGCATGGGTCCTGGTGAAATTTTTACGGTAAACTACCTCTAGGAATGTGATTGTCTTTGGTTGTTTAACTTTCGAGTTAAATTAATTTTGTGAAAGTTGTGTTGACAGTGCTTTGCAGTCTTGGGTAAGGCATGGATCAACGACATGGACTGGGGTGGATCACCAACATTCAAGGTATTATCAAGATTTTTTTTTTAAATTCATTTTATGATAAAGATTCTAATGTGGTTTATACACTTTTATCTCGCAATTGCAGACTGCGGGAAGCTCAGAGAAAACAGTTGTCCAAAGAAAAAGAAAACGACGTTTTTCAATATTTTGAGGTAAACTTGGTGTTACTGATCAATACTAAACCAGCTCCCTTTCAGGGAGCTGGCACAACCCTATATTTTTCAAAAAAATAATTAGAAAGAATTGTAAACTACTACATCGGGGTAAACATAAAAAAGTGTGCTGTTTTTGTTGACATTACAATGATTATTGGGCCAGCAATGTAGATGTAAGGCCGATATGTATTAGTAAAGGACTTCAATATTATTTATTTTTTTGGTCATTTCCCTTACAGCATTACATAGAAGTAATTTCGCAACAAGCATTTCTTTGGTGAAAGCAAGTTTGATCTGAATGTCTAGAGGGATTAGAGGGATCTTATTTTAAACATTAGTGTGAATCATTTTAGATGTCAGAACGTAACGTGCCAACTGTCACACGCATGCTGAACGTGAAAGGCATCTGAAGTATCGGAAAAAAACCGACCGTGTTGGGAGACAACTTGTCCGATCCGCGTAAATGGTACGTTGTACTGTTCAGTTTTTAAGTGATAACATAATCAAAGTGTAGATTATGCTCATGGCGGCAAAATAGTCAACAGACGATAGGCTGTTGAATAGTGGTCCTGAACAATGCGTTTGTTTTTAATCCGGGTCAATACGCTGGCCAGAACAATTTTGGGCCTATAATTGCCTTGCTGGTATTTCGAATGTTACTCTTTACTGCTGGCTGGCTACTTGGCTAATTGCCATTTTTGTAGCTCGGTATTCCAAATTTTCATTATGTCTGGCTGGGAGTTTTATGAAATAAAGTCGATCTTGCTAGCAGTTAAGGGCGGATATTTTTTTCCTAGCAAAGTTAATTATTAATGGTAATTGACGTGGGAGCACAGCACGGAATTGGGTACTCCTGTTATATGACTTACAGGTTGTCAAAGGGAAATTCAAAGTCACTCAAGCAATTCACGGTAAGCCTCAAGAGCACTCAAATATATGTCTACACCAAAGCTACCAGATTCAGCCACTGGATTAATTAGCTGTCTGAATTCTTCGAACAGTTCTGCTGGGAAAGGATTCTCGATGTCTTCAACTTCAACAGATCCATGTTCCTCTAAAGGAGATGGGCCATCTGGGTCAGTACCATACCATTCTATCATATCTTGGGTAATTGCCTCATTCTGCATTTGTCGATTAAGCATGCCATTGACCCACAGCCTCTCAGGTGACCAGTTGCGCTCGGTTCGTACTGGCCTCAAATTAGATGCTCTTGTAAACTCATCTAGGGCAACACTGATTCGTGGAAGGAACACTTGATGTAGTAAAAAACATCTGCAGAGTGCTACTTGCGCTCAGGTAACCATTCTCTTCCAAAGAATAAAAAAACGGCATGAAATAAAAAAGAAATAAATAAAAAAGAAACTTCTCAGAGGACCCTCCTGAAAACCACCTTATGGTGATTGGAGGCCTCCTCTTAAAATATTATGTATTATTTATTTATTTGTATTAAACACAACGGAATACTTCTCTCCATAGACGCTCAATCCTTTTATTTCTTGTGGATGGCCCTGCAATAAAACTGCCTCTTCCTTCGCCCCTTTCTCGAACAATAGATCTTGCAACCTCTATGTTTTCACCTCCATGATCACCTCCTACGCGAGAAGGCACACCAAACTGTTGTACTGCCCTCTGAAAGGCTGACATAACTGTATCTGCCCGATTGTTGGTTGAACATCGTAAGAATGTAATCATTCCAGAAAAGCCGTCGATACAGCCATGGACTACAAATCCCCATCGTATTAGACTATCATGCCCATCTATGTGCCATGACGAGTTGGGCCAAAGCACACTGTACACCCTCCTTGTTATTACCGTTGCCCATCGAAGAGCACTGTTTTCAGGGTCAACCCTATTGATTGTTGCACGGACGCGTTCACGCTGTACGAGATGGCCCAGAGATCGAATATACCCTAACAAATACGACTGTCCAGTTGTCGTTCCATGTCGAGATATAAACCCGCGAATAACCTCCTCGAGTTGGTCATCGCTTATGTTTGACCACCTGCCGCAGCCCAACCCATACTCTTCCACTCTACGATAGATAGTCCATCTTGATACTCGTAGCATCTGCACAATCTGATTCCAGGTGCACCTTAGGCTTCTAAGATTTTCAAGACGTTCCTCAGCAATGACGAACTTTGGTCTTCCAGGTTGCGATGTATGCGCAACGCTACGGGATCCTAAATCGACAAGGCTTACTGTTCTCCTACCTATTTCAGTCATCCTCTCAAACCAGAACTGATGTATTTCAGAAAAACAATCACAGAGCTGCAGTAAATTGTTTCTACAACATAGATCCTCACCCTGATCAAGGACACTTCGCGGAACGGAGAGTACCTGGTCAAGACAATTGAAAAGCAGCGCCGCTGAGTGGAACTCTAAGTTTATAATTCTGGCACTGTGTTCGCATCTATCCAGTAGATTTTCAGCGAATATAAAAAAAAACATTCCAAGTAGTTGCATCTGCTGTTGCATCTGGGTCTAGATTTGTCGCCATTTTCAGACAGAACGTAAGGATTTTGGATAATGGCGGGAAGCTTTGTGACCCTGCCGTAAATGCTTTGTGGCCATGCCTCCTTGGGTCACGTGACTTAATCGTTAATATCTTTTTATCAAATGAAAAAACATCGAATAAACATAATTTTTATCGAGTGCAAAAAGAGCATGGAAATGGTTTTATCGAACAAATATATTTTTATCGAATGAAAATATTTAACGAATAAAAATATATCATTTCCAATGAAAATATTTTTAGCGAATAAAAACATATCATATATGGATGATTATGTTTTTAGCGAATAAAAAAATGTCAATTATCAAATGAAAATATTTTCAGCGAATAAAAATATGTCATTTATCGAATAAAGATATTTTTAACGAATGAAAATAAGTCATTTATCGAATGAAAATATTTTTAACGAATGAAAATAAGTCATTTATCGAATGAAAATATTTTTAACGAATGAAAATAAGCCATTTATCGAATGAAAATTTTTTTTGTCAAATTTTGCTACTTTTCGGCAACCATAAGGAAGTAGCATTTAGAGCAGAAGTCCCAGATTTGCTTGCTGGAACCGAGAATGCAGAGGCGCGGCCCAGACAGGAGGCAGCATGTAGAGCAGACAAAGAACGGAGAGCATTGATGGAAAATTAGTTGCCTTAGGAACATTGATTCTCAAGTTCCAAGAACAGTGAGCTTTGAGAACAGTAGACACCTGCCCTATGTTCGGAGTAATTGCCTTAGGAGTGGTGAACATTGCCACTTAGACTTGTGTCGTTGAGTTCGACTAGTATTGCACTTTGTTTTCGAGTATGGCATTTAGCCTGTAAAGAGTTCCGGATTAAAGTTTTACAGTTTTGTTGAAGCAGCACGTGCTGTGCGTGCAGTCGCACCGAGTGTGTGCATCAGTGCAAAACATTGGTGAACACGCCTTGTTTTCGAGCCTCGTTGCTAGTGTTGAGGTGATAAGCTTCTGGTTTCGAGAAGAAGTCAAATTGGTTACACACCAAAAACACACTTTCCCCGGATATACCTCATTTTCCTCCTAGATATGAGGTCCCGTGTAACTGCAAGCGACGTTTCCGTTGGTCTAGCGTCGTCCTGTTTTCCACGTCCACATACAACACATCTAGCATGGTTAAGCAGACGACAACCGTCAGGGCAACGTCAGGGTAATCTCAACGTTGCTATTACGCATGCCCCGCATGTTTATAGCCAGATCCTGGCCCGATTTGTGTGGACTTCCACTAAGAATAAATGGAATGAATAACACGCAATTTTATCACAATTGGACCGTCGATCACGTGAAAGTTAGTCGTTCAGATTGCATGACGTTTTGCAGACGTTGTTCAAGCGCTTGAGAAGATTGCTGTGATTATCGACGATGTCTGTAGTTCAAGCCATAAGTAATAGAGAAGATTGCTGTGATTTTATCGACGTTGTCTTTTGTTTAAGCGCTGCTTTTTGAGAAGATTGCTGTGATTTATCGACGATGTCTGTAGTTCAAGGCTGCTTTTGAGAAGATTGCTGTGATTTTATCGACTTTGTCTGTTGTCCAAGCTCTGCTTTTGAGTCGATGCTGTCTGTTGTTCAAGCGCTGCTTTGGAGAAGATTTGCTGTGATTTATCGACGTTGTCTTTTGTTCAAGCTCTGCTTTTGAGTCGACGTTGTCTGTTGTTCAAGCGCTGCTTTTGAGAAGATTTGCTGTGATTTATCGACGTTGTCTGTTGTTCAAGCGCTGCTTTTGAGAAGACTGCTGTGATTTTATCGACGATGTCTGTTGTTCAAACGCTGCTTTTGAGTCGACGCTGTTTGTTGTTCAAATGCTGCTTTTGAGAAGATTCGCTGTGATTTATCGACGTTGTCTGTTGTTCAAGCGCTGCTTTTGAGAAGATTGCTGTGATTTTATAGACGTTGTCTGTTGTTCAAGTGTAATTTTTACTTATCATTGAAATCACTTGTTCAAAGTTATATAATAGTTTCGTTACAGTTACTGTCCAATAACATGTTCAAGTTTTGCATATGATAACCAATGCGTTATGTTTGAATTCTTTATTAATCATTTAAATCACATGTTCAAATTTTATATGTTATAATATTTCAATAAATATTTGTTGAGTTCCAAAAATTCATTTCGACTCAATCATTACAGGGAATATAGAGGGAGTTTAAGGGGGAGAGGGGGGGCGAGGGAAGGGGGGAGAACTGCAGGAGCAGGGATTGCCCTAGAAAATATTTCACACCCTTAAAACTACTGAGCATCACTCACTGACTATACCTCGGACAATATAAACCTTTTTTACCCAAAATGACCAGATATCGTCCTCGCCCGCACTTTCTAACCTTTGGTTATTACTAGTATATCTTGGTACATTTCTTTGCTGTTTTCTGTAAAACAGCAGCCTGTCCTGAACAGCTGAGATGACCAAATTCTACGTAGCCAGGAAAACGTGAAGTGACCACTTCGAGTAATTGTCATGAAAGTTCCCATTTCATTGTGTGACAGTTCATCCTATTTTTAAGCGATTACGTATTGTGTGACGTCATCGCTTTATGCTGGCATCCATGCATTCCTTTGGATAGTGATTTCGCAGAGTTCGTCGCGCTTATGTCCGTGCGCTTATGTC